ATTCTAGAAAGGTGGGAAGAATTCTTAGCAATTCTCCAATTGACGACAAATTGTTCAACAAATACTTTGACCAATTTGACAAAGGTGGAAATTGTTCCAGTTGGAAGTGAATAGAATTACATTCGTGCTTGTACCTTAAGGGTAACAGGAAAAACTTGGCATATGAGCGCATCTAAGGCTAACTGGATATGCATGATGGTCCTATAATGATCAATATGCTCGTATAAGTCGGATGTTCTGTCAAAAGAATCGATACTCAATAGTTTAAATCCAGCTGGAATGGAGTGTTGAATAATAGCTTCGGTCAGGGGAGATGACTCCTAGAAGTCTCATTGATGATGAGATTTCCAAACTGGATATGCATGATAGGAAACTCTTCTCTAATCAATCTTTGTAATTCACGATGTAGGGTGTTATGAGGGAATTCAGTAATACGCTGTCGGGCTGAGTCCTCGGGGATGTCTAGAGGAATGTAAGGTTAACGACCTGCGTGCGAAGGATGGGTAGAGCTTACTGTGTCAGCAAGATCATTGTCTTGATGTGTCGGAGGATGAATCCTTGATGGAGGAAGGGAAATCTCACCAGGAAGATGTTCGGGTTGAACTTCTTCGAGCATTGATGGATCTCGTGGGAGAAGAATCTTTTTTTGATGTGCTAGTGTCAGTCATTGAGTCTCTCGCAGGAGTTGAAAGATCTCATTCTGAGATTCCTCCATCTTTCTAATGCGATCTTCTAGGGAAGGCCATAAACTTCCTTCTCCAACAGAATTATGCTGCCCAAGATAAAAAGAGGCAGATGTCTGACGTCTCTGGTTCATGAAAAGATTTATTGATTGGTGTAAATTGGAGTGGGAGGCTCCCAAGATGTGATTGCTATGCATATTGGCCATTAGAGTGGTGCATAGGATAGTGGGATTGAGATTCTCACATATGACGCCAAACTATTACGCGCTAGAATATAAGCGGCGATAGAGTTATAATTTTCTGCTCAGTGTTGTACGGATATCCTACACACAAAGGATTTTTATGTGGAAACCCGAGAAAGGGAAAACCCACGAGGCCACACCCAGTTGAAAGAATTACACTAGTATTTGCTTGAATTATAAGAGGTTGACTCGTCCTAAACGTTTATGACTATCATATTATAATAATCAACACCCAGGTTTAAATTCAGCTGCACACGGATATCAGAATGCTGGTGTCTATTTTTTGTTGGAGAGAGTTCTAATGTTACTTGACGGAACTCCAGCGTCACTTGAAAGTTGGGCGAAACTCCGACGTCTCCTAAAAGTCGGGCGGAACTTCGACGTCACTTGAAAGTTGGGCAAAACTCCTAAGTTACTTGAAAGTCGGGCGGAACTCCGTCGTCACTTGAAAGTCGAGCGGAACTCAAGCAGTGGTCGAGGAGGAGCTTCTTCCCTCCTTTTCTCTTCTTCTTCTTACTTGGGTTGTAAAACCCCTCCGAAGCTGATTTTTTTTAGTGTTGTTAGTCCGGATGAACTGGTCTTAGTACGGGACGAACTGAATAAAAATGTGAAGAAATCTGCCTGGTTCGTCTGGACGAACCTGTAAGGGTTGGGACGAACCGTCGGGACGAACTGAACCCGAGAGTTTCGTCCAGGGACGAAATAAATTGGAATTAATTTTATCTAGACGTTTTGAGTTCAGAGGAGTTCATCCCGGGACGAATGGGAATCGTCCGGGACGATCCTGTTTGATAAATATCCGATTTGAGATATTTTGGATCATTTTTGAAGAGAGAGAGAAAAAAAGGCAGGAGAGAGAAAGAGAAGGAAATAGAAAGAAGAAGGTGGGTTTTGGAGCTCGCGGTGCGCTTTTCGTCCGACGCCGCTGTTGAAAGAATTGTTCATCTCGCAGTAAGGAATTAGAATCTTATTTCTGATTTCGAAGATTTCGAGTTTTGATATTTTTCTGCTCAGTTTTGTGTTTTCGTTACCGAAAAATGTGCATATCTTTGTATTGATGAAACTTTTACCGCGCAACTTTTGATATGTTTCTGATATGATATTTCTGAACGATTTGAGTATTTTTTGTAAAGTTTCTACTGGTTATTTTGAGTTTTGTGCGATTTTTATCGAATAGAAAATTATCAGGATGTTGGAAAATGTTGCTTCAGTACAAGTAAAGCTTTGTAAAGTTATTTTATTCAATTTCTGGTAATTTGGTACTTTTCGGGAACTGTGCATTTTTACAACGACTTCTGTCTACTATACGATATTTTAAGGGGTTTTCGACATTGAGCTAGATTGTGTTTATTGATCGCAATACCTTATGGTTATGCATACGAATGTGGATATGTGATTGATATACTGTTACTTTAATAAAAGACAAGTGAAGACTGACTGAACCGTTGGTTGGAGTTTATTCAGCCGACGGGCACAGAGTGACGACTCTTATTGAGCCAATGGATATGGATATAGATATAACGACACAACGATACATTGATACTTGAAAAACACCATAATAGCCAGTGCTTGTACTTATCGAGTAAGACTATGGTATTGTATGGCTTGTGTAAATACTGTTCTTATGATTTCTTTATGGATTTACTGATTCATCGATATTGACTGATTTATTGATATGTAATTGATTTATGGATTTTGAATGGATTTACCGATATTGAATTGATTTATTGATACTGAATGACTTTACTGTATGGATTTATGAGTTTCCTGTCATTGCACGATTTCATTGATATTTCATACTGTACATGTTACTGAACACAGATACTGATATGGATATTGATATTATATTGATTCATAGATACCGATATTGATACTGATACAGATATCGATACCGATACTGATTCCAATACCGATACTGATACTGATATCGATACCGATATTACTGATTCACTAATACTATTGATTCATTATACTGATCTTATAGCACGTGATACACCGAATACTGACTGATACATGTGATACATCGAACATGTGATATATAATATATTGATTGATTTTAATTGTTATTATTGATTTATTGATTTGATTTCAACTGTCCCTTACGATGTATTGAATTGATCGTTTTATGTGATTTTATACCGATTGATATTATTGATCGGAATTGATTTCTTTATTGATCTGATTGATTCTATTGATATGATTGAGTGATGTATTTGATTTGACGGATTTACTAATACTGACTCATTTACTGAGGATTTATTGTTACTGTCCGAATTTACTGTTACTACACGATTTCACTGTTATCGTATAATTGTTCTTGTCGTCACTGTAATGTTATTGATATGAATACATACGCTGCTACTACTGATTCAATGTACTGACATTGAACACGTGATATCGATTATTGGATTTCATATGATTTATTGAGCAAATGATATTGAATAACTGGAATTGCAAGTCTATGTTTTGATACAATTCTGCTCCATTGATTAGACTGATGTGATAGATAAGATGACTACTGTATAGATTGATGCACGTACTGATTTATTGAACATTATGGTTTTTCTACTGTTCACTGATTCTATCACTGATGATTTTGGATACTATTGTTTATGTATTGATTTCTATTTTGGTATTGATACTGTTTATACATTGATTTTTGTTACCGCATTGATTACTATTTCAGTACTGATTTTCGTATCTGCATAGATTCAATGTTAATGTGCAAGTGTCTGTTATTGATTGACTAATTGACATGCATATTGTTTCAGTACCGTGCTTTGATTTCAGTTATAGGATTTGGTGACCTGCTGTGCTTTTTGAAGCTCATTATATGTGCTTAACAATTTCAGATCAAAACAAAGGAGCAAGAAGTGATGGTTGATCAAGACTGTCGACGAATCCTTTCACTATGGAAGCCTGGGGCGTCACATGGATCCCCTCTTAAAAGAAATGATGGGCTATTTATAGTTTTGTGAGGATGGCATGACTATTAAATAGAAGAAAGATCGTGGGTAAATTGAGAGTGGTTTGAATGGACGGCCCATGTTGAATCCCTTGATCATTGACTGTTTATTGAGCATTTCAAGGCTCTAATGATATCAAAATTTGACGATCTTTGGCTCGTTGGATTTGTCTCGTCGAGCCGCTCGATTCAATTATAAGTATGTCATATTTGGAAACTGTTTGGTAATCAAAATTATGGATTAAACCTTTCAAATGTGTTTCAGGTCTTCGATATGGACCCATTTGGGCTTGGATCGAGTTGAATTTGGTGTCGTTGGGTTCATACTCCTGAGACGTTCAGTTCGACTATAAGTTTGCTGAAATCGAAGTTTAGATGGTCCCAGATTTAATTTTTGAAGTTTCCCACTTGATTCTGCCTCGAGATTCGTGCCTGTTCAAGATAATTTTTTGATGATATATCAATAATTATTTCAATTGTTTGTAAAAATTAATGTAGATTTATTGTTTAAAATTTTAAAATTTTAAAATAATTATGAGTGTTATAATTATTTTCTATTTTGAAAATATTAAAAATTAATTTTCTTACAATATCTCACTATAATAGTTTTGATTATAAAAATTTGCTCTTCACTCATCAAGTTGACCTAATTCTGACTCAAAATATTTAAGTTTGAGATAACCCGTTTAATAAACAGGTTAGAATTCAGGTCATGCATTCCAACTCATTTATTAAATAGATCATATTCGAGTTGACTCATCAGTTGAGATTGATCTAAAAATGACCTGTTTATTGTTTAGGAAAATTCATATAATCTTCTTCTTTTATTAATTAACTTAAAATATATGATTAATAAATTAATAAAAATATTTTTAAATTAAAAATAGATATCAGATCGTGTTGCTTGCGGGTTGGATTTGGATTCAAAATATTTACTAATTTATTAATCGAGCCGTATTCGAATTCATCAAATTTAAGTTGAGTTAATTTTGGGTCTGAACCCTAAAGAAACTTTAAAAAAGTAAAAAAAATGAGAAACTTGCCCTAAAGGATAAAAAAATTTACAGCGAGAGAGTAAAAAAAGCAACATAATAATTCGTCAATGTTCCAATCAAAATCTTTCCTTTTTCTTCTCTTGCTGCTCTCCACCTCAATCTGTTATTCTGATCCAGATCCTTAACCCCACAAGAAATAAAGAAGAAATTGCTAATTACAGGAAGAAGATCAACAAAAAGAGAAGCGAAAAATAGGACCAAAAACTCATGGGCACCCATGGGCGGTGTCCGGCGGAATCCGACGCCGAAGGCGGGCTGTAGAAATAGAACGGATAATACGGAATAATCGGATTTGGCGGCGGGGGAGTTTGGTAACCGCTTCCGCCGCCGCCGCCGCTACAACTCCCGCAAATGCCTCCGCCGCCAGCATCCGGTGGGGGCGGGGATGCGTATACCGAACCACCTGACGGTCGTGACGGTGTTGGCGGCGGAGGAGAGTAGTAATAGATCGGTATGTCAGGCGTTGGCGGCGGCGGACAATCAAGTGAGGATGACTCCGGCGGTGGCGGAGACGGTGGAGGAGGCGGAGGGGAGCAGTCGATCTCCGGCGGCGGCGGAGAGGGAAGTGGAAGACAGGGGTTATCGCAGGAATAGCACATTGAGCAGCCGACGGAAGGAGGCGCGGTCGGCAAAGTCTCGCCGTCCTTGATTACCGCGGCAAATTTGGCGCTTGCCGGCGGCAGGGAGCTGAAAGCCGGCCAAGAACTGAGGAGGAGGAGGAGGAGGAGAAGTACCATTGTTCCGGATCCGGATAGAGAGAGAATGAGTGTGGAAAAAGGGATGAGCTTAGTTGACTTTAATAGGTAGAGCAATTGATGCGTCTTAAACTTTACTCAAAAGGAACCTTTTTTATTTCTTTTACCACAAAATGTGATGAAAAAAGAAAATTTCTTTCAATATTTTCCTCAGTTTATGCAAAACGGCTATCTTTGTTAGATATATGCAGCACAGATATGAATGAGTTCTTATATATAAATGAAAAATAAAAAAGACGAGGAGAGAGATAGAGATGAGGAGGGAGAGAGAGAGAGAGAAACGGAGGAGAGAGGATCGGAGGGAGAGAAATGCGGAGCCAGGAAGAGAGAGATGGTGGGGGAGAAAGAAGGAGAAATTATTGGGTGCGGAGTGCGGACGTAGCTCTGTGTGTGCAAACGAATTGGTTCGCGCCACGTGGAGCCCACTTTGACCCTGCCTGATCAAGCTAATTTTGTGATGACGTATCAATATTCATTGTAGAGGTTCATACCGATATGATCTTTATTGCTAATGTAATGATGGGAGTGTATTTGATGATTTTTCAACTTAAAACAGAAGAATCAAAAGCCTCTATATTTAGAGAGCTATAAAAAAAATATTTCAAGTCAATATATATATTTTTGCGATAGATTCATTCAATTTTGGAGATGAAAAAAAAGTTAAGTCAGGTTCAAATTAGCATGAAAAAATAACTTGACTTGTTTGATATGCTTAAAGTATTCATTTTTATAAAATGTTATTTATGCTCCACAATTTAATATGAAATTAAAAAGCTTGCATGACTAATTTAAAGTGTGATATGGTTGATTTTAATATTTTAAAATTATAAAATAATCCTCATTTATCTTGATGGATCATATTTTAATAAATGTGATTATGTACAATTATTATTTATAAGCCCCCCCCCGTTATTTAAAATGTTATTTATAAGTCGTCATTATAATAATTGAACATTACAAAAACTTTATGCACTTATAATTACGCTATTAATATATGATTAACTTTGTACTATAATTTAACATTTTACATATATTCAATACCATATATTGTTAACAATTTAGCATCATTCATGTAAATGTTCCTAAGTAGGCTTATTGATACATTGGATTATGACCTAACTAAATCCGATTAACATGATCAAATACCTAATTTGAAGACCCAATAATTTGAACTTATAAGAAACTAACATGTTTATGATTAGGTGGAGAAATATGAATCACTGTCAACTTTTCACATTTAAGACCCAACTTGATGAAGATAAAATATTTCCCTATTTATAGCTTGCATACAATACCTATATAACTAATATCAACATCCTTGTCCTTAACCTTTGTTGGTAATCTACCTATTCAAGATTTGATATCCTTACAACTAACGCAATGTTGTTGCCTTTTGCCTTAGATGTTTAGAGCATGTACCTATGCAGCTAGCTTCATAACTCGTTCATCTCTCTAGTTTTAAGTCTATTTTTCTAGTTTTTAGTTTTTTTTTAAGTTTTTAGTCATTTAATCTTCTATTTTATGACCAATTAGGGCACCCATAAAGTCACTATTTGATAGTGAATATGTAATCAGAATTTATAGTGCCAATAGCTAAGAGATTTAGACACACTTTCCTCTCCCCTCTCTCCCCTTTATGTTCTCCCCATATATAAGCATTAAGTGTAAAGACATAAACCATAGTCAAAATCTTTTAGTTTTAAGTAGTTTGCTATCCATCAACCTTTAACAATAAATACTATCTCAACCTCCTCAAATCTATCAACTTCTCATGAAAGCCTCTTTATATATAGATAAATTCATAGTGATGCAATCTCAAACTCTCAATCACAATAGATATGCAAAATTTTTCTATTGCAAACAACATTACAATTATCATTGGTATTGAATTTTCACTATTCAATCATGCCCTTTAATTTTTATTTGTATTTTAATTAAATTTTTATTTTTCTATTTAAATGTATAATATTTCAATTATAATATCTTAGAGATTAAGTATTTTTATAATTATTGAGTGTCAATCCTAGAAATCATAACTAGCAAGAAGCTTGAATTGGATTGATCAAGATAAATATATTATTCTTAAAAGAATCATTACCACTTAGATTGTTAAAACCTTAATATTTTTCTCAATTACTATGATATAACCCAATAACATCTTTTTATCCTTATCATGAGAGTTTAGACACTGTCAGGTCCAAAATTTAACCAAATAGTTCAACCTAATATGAATCATGGATATGATCCAAGTTAACCTTATAGTATACAAACTTGATGATGGCGGTCCAAAGAGGTTGGAGAATGATCTTCAAGACTAAACGAGGAGTGATTGTCAAGGATAAGGCCAACACAAGGAGTGGCTCTTAAAATGCTTACTTGGACGATAGGTTCTCCGAGATAAAGGGAACATGAATGACCTTATTGGATATTGGTCCAAAATTTAGGTAGTTTCTCTTTGTGTAGCTTTTTATGTTGCTATTTGTTGCCTATAAATAGGCTATAGGCTGTAATAGTAGGTATGATTAAACAATAAAGTATTTGAGTTTTTCTCTCTTCTCTTCTCTCTCTCTCATTCCTCATCTCTCAAGAAACTGAAAGGAATTGGTTCTTCCTCTCCTTGAAGATCTTAACAGACCTCAATCATATATATACTACAAGTTGGAAAGGATGTTGGGTTATATATATTTAGAGTTAAGTCATAATACATGAGAGGTCTTTTAATTTAAGATAATAGATTTTCTTCAAGAATCTCTTAGTTAAGTCTAATAAAATATTTTTGGGATCAATGACCTCTTATGAACTTTCTTGAAAAATGAACAAAAAATATAGCCTATGAATGCTCATATCTTGTGAAAAATAGGGCACTAAAAAATAATGAATGAACTTAACACTAATGGCAGCTCCCTTTTCCCCTTAATCTCTTACAATTATTCACATTCTAAATTTACCTAAAATGTTCTCCATATTTGTGACTTCTCAACTTTTCATTAAATTTCTAATAATTTGATCGTAATATGTGTAATATGAATTTGCCAATTTAAAATTATTATTTAGGGACTACATATCTAAATTACATTAATTTAGATGATATGAGAACAAATATTCATAAAATTTATAAATTTGCATTGTGTGGACGTACTTAATACGTATACAAATTTTTATTTGCGGAATATTATATTTTTAATATTATTATTATTTTGAAGATATTAAACAAACAAAATATAACTATCAAATACTGAATTATTTATTTATTTGAAAATGAGAACATATTTTTTAATGAAACTTGGATTAAATTAATAAATTATTTAATGGCTGAGATTTTATCTCTATAAAATTTGATGGAGCATCTCATTTACTTCTTGGGATTTTACACTATTGGGGGTCTTTGGTGCTTACCGGACTTTATTCCAAACCCTGTGCAGCAGCTGATTAGTGTTATTCCCCTTACTGGTTCGCCCTCTACACCTTTATCTTGGAGAAAAAAAGATATCCTCAAGACCTCATTATTCAAAACATTTAGACTTCATTTTTTTGAGGGACTACACAGGGTGTCGTGGGCTAAGTTCATTTAGCATAAATGGGTTGCTATTAGGTACTCATCTTACACATGGTTGTTGCTTAATAATGGGCTAAAAACGACTGATGTTTTAGCGAAGAGGAACATTTACATTGAACCCATTTGCTCTTTATGTTTAAGAGAAGAGGAAAGTAGTTCACATTTATTCTTTCGCTGTGACTTCTCTTTTGATGTTCTCTCTATTCTTCTCCCAGTTCTAAACTGCTTTCTATTAAGGCCATCCCTATTGCATCTTTTTGAATTCCTATATGACATTTACATTTTCAATGTTGTGGAGAAGAATTTTCGTTATTGTGTTATTTGCTGTACTATCTACTTTTTGTGGAGAGAACGTAACGAGCGAAGATTCACTGGTTCTCAAATGAGTCATTTGGAGCTGTCAAAAAAGATTGCTTGGGCTATTTCTCACAAAGTCTCAAATTGGAAATCCTTTGATGTGCTATGTGTTGCATTCCCTACGTGTTTTAATGGAGATGTGGATTCATTGGGAGTTACGGGACGATGATGAGAGGTACCCGCCCGTTGCCCTTTGGATGGCCATTTTTACAGCTCCTGCGGTTTTGCATTTTGGCCTGGCACATTTCACCTGCACCCTGCTCTTCCGTCTCGGGCTGTGGCATTTTGACAACCGGGGTAACTTATTCCTGTTGGCTCGATTCCTGCTGGACAATTGAGTTTAGGCTCTGATGGCTTTGTCCTGGGTGGGTTCCTTATTACCTGAGTCCCAGGTCTCATTTTTGTTTTTCCAGTTGTTCACCTGTTTTGTATTTTTGTTTCCTTTAGTCATCTGTTTTGTTTTCTCTTTTTGGCTCTCTGAAGATGTATTATGTCTGTAGGCTGTTCTTGTAAGCCGTTCATTTTTGGTATATTAATATACGGGCAATGCCCCAATTTTTCCCAAAAAAAAAACTTTTTGGGATTTTTAATTTTATTTTCTTAGAATTACGATTTGATTATATCTTTTCATGATTTTTTTTGAAAAGTATATTTAATCAATATTTTTATTATAATAGACTTTTGAGTTTCGAGATGTGCTTTAAGATGAGTGTAATTTGTAGGTAGATAATTTATACGCGTTTTAATGCAGATTTAAGGGGCTGCTTGGTAGTTGGATTTAAGTAGGATTTATGTTGTATTTATCATAAATCTTGTCAAACTGTTTGAGAGTGCATGCAAATTAAGGCAGACACACAATCGCATACACAAGACTCGAACTCAAGACCTCTTAGTTGGTAGTCTGAGCTCTTAACAAGTAGACCAAGATGAACTCTGTAAGCTTAAAAAATTTAGAAGTCTACTTCCAAACATGGGCGGATCCCGATTATATTGGAGGGGGGCAAATGCTTAAAAAATTTTTTTGCCCCAATTTTATCAATTCTAAGCGTCTTTGTCCATCCCTACAAAAAA